TTGAGCCATGGGAAAAATACACGGTTCCTCACCAGTTTTAGCAATACCTACTCTTGGAGGAGGGTCTAGAGGGTGTCCTATGTGAGGAATATCTTTGGCATAAGGATCAAGGCATTAACTAAAGCAGGAAGTAGGTTTTTCTTCTGAAAGTTGTTTTTCATTTACAGAGGGATAATCACAAGAAATCGCAGGTTTTGGTTTCTTTCTCTTTTCTTCTTCTGCTTCAGCATAATCTTCATCACTTCGAAAATACATTTTCTCACCAAACCCTAGTCCCATGTAATCTTTGTTATAGATTTGAAGGCAATTAACTTTCTTAAGATTACGTGGGTTAGTTATGCCCAGTCCTGTTTTAGCATTGTAGAATCGGTCATCCTTTTGTTTGTTGTTAAGCAGAAAAACAGTTTGTTCAGATTGACCTCTTCTAGCAGCTAGATCTTCTAGTTCCTTTACTTTATTTAAAAGCGTTCTTCTTTTGTTATGCAAAAAATCGCATTCAGCCTTTGCTGTGCTTTTTTCCCGTTCACTGTCCTCAAATTTCTTAGTTAATTCAGCTATCTTAAGTTCAAAGTTTTCAAAATCTGAGGACACCTTTTTGACTTGATCTTTTTGCAATTTCAAGTTGAATACTTAAGGAAGACTTTTGGTCTAGATTCTGTTTCAGAACTCTATGATTGTTGTCTAGTCTCTCCTTTAGTTCTTTGATTAGACTGTCCTTTTCAAGTAAGGACTGCAGTTGATTATCTAAAGAAGTATGTGAAGTACTTACAGAGCTTGTTGAGCAGTTGCCTTCGGGGATCACAGCATCACCCTTTATTTCATCTCCCTCCACACGTGCCATAAGAGCATAGTTGTCTTCCTCTTCCTCCTCCTCAGAAGAATCTTCTGCCCAGTTCTCATTTTCAGCAATCATGGCAGAGGTTTCTTCTTCTTTCTGCACCATCAGCATTTTCTGCTTATTCCACAGCATCTTCTGCTTGTAGAAGTTAGCATCTTTCTTCTTTGGAAGGCGGCAGTCTTTGATCACATGTCCAGGCTTGCCGCAATTATAGCATTTAGGTGCTTCTTCTGCTGATGATGCCTTCCTAGAAGATCCTTGATCATGATTCTTCTGTTTGTAGTTTGAGGAGGAAGTTCTCAGCCTGTTGGAGGAAGTGTTCTTCCTAGCAAATCTTTTGGCTAGCATTGCCATCTTCTTCTGTAAGTCTGCTAGCTCAGCCTCTAGATCAGATTTGTCATCGTCACTCTCATCATCATCTGATTCAACCACCACCTTCTTCTTTTTCTTCTTTAGTGAAGTGGTTGTCCTTCTAGGCTGAGCATCCATTACAAAAGCTAAGGGGTTTGTGGTGTGATGATCCTCTGCACAGGCAACCTCGTTGACGAATTGCTTCAGATGTTCATATAGAGTGCAGAGGTCAATTTCGTCCAGATCTATCCGAGATCTGACATCCTTCACTGTCTTTTCCCATGCAGGATGTAGGCTGGATAAAAATCTAATATTCAGTTCCAGATTGGACCTGAATACTTTGATCTTTCTGAGTTCATTTACCAGTTGAACAAGTCTATTGTAAGTCTCATTCAATGGTTCTCCTGGACCTGCTTTGAAGGAGTCATAAGCGATGAGAATCGTAGTCTTCTTTGTTTTGAGGCTGATGCTTGTGCCTCGTAGCAGCTTCTCAATTTCATCCCACATTTCCTTAGCTGTCTGCATGCTATCTATGAGAACATAAACCTCGTTAGGTATTGCTTGAAGGAGGTACGTTTTGGCCATAAGGTCACCACGAAGTCTGAGCTTGTTAGCTTCTGTGTATTCAGACGGCACTTTTCTCCTTATTTCTGGAAAAATAGGAGGATTGTTCTCTGGATCTCCACCAACTGAAATTAAAAGTTCAGCTGGTCCTTCAAGCAAAGATTCGAGTATTGCAGAAGAGTTCTCTTTGTGCTCGAGGAAGTTTAAAAATCTGTTCCTCCACATTTGATATTCTCCCTTCCTGAGGCTAGGAGGGGTACTGCTGTTCCCTTGTGCATTGTATTCTGAACCCATTGCTGTACTAAACTGCCCGTTCGAGAAAATTGATCAAAAGATTTTCAGAGGCAGAATCTCGAAAAATCAGATGTCGAGATCTGAATATCGAAATTTCAGATTTCGATAAAGGAGGCCCGGTATCGAGATTTGGGCTCGAGATTAAGGATCTCGAGATTTGGGATCTCGAGATTTCAAATTTCGAGATGCTAATCTCGAGATTTGAAATGTCGAGAAGTTAATCTCTCGAAATCTTAATCTGATGAGTCAAATGTCGAGACCAGATGTCGAAACCTTTTCTCGAAATCAAAATTTCGAAATCCTAGATGTCGAAATCCTCAATGTCGAAATCTTTCAACCTGTAAAAATCAGATAATCAAAATCTGAAGATAGTTTCCTGTAGAGTTGAATGTCGAGATCTTCTGGTAAAGTTTTCAGCTCGAAAAACGTAGCAGAACCTGTGAAGAAGTAGGATGTCGAGATGCCTAGCTCGAGATATCTCGAAATCAAAAATCGCGTAAAACACAAACTGAAGTATACCCTTTGATCGCTTTGAAAAGGCGATTCCAAAGGTGTAACTTTTACAACTTTTGAACAAGAAACAAAATTACAGAGCAAAAAATCGACAGAATGAACTACGTTAACAAAAACAGAGTATTCTGCAGGAGTTCTTCTGATCGTTCTCGATCGGCTCTGATACCAATTGTTAGTCCCTGTTTCTTTAACAGCAATGAATAATCGATCTAACAAAGGAAGATTAAACGTAAAGATGAAACAGAATGAATCACCGTAAAACCTTCTTTGATAAACCGTGGAACGTACAGCAGAATGATAAGCGTAAGGCTATGAAATAATAAGTACGACGTTCAACCTTTTCCTAAACCTCGGCTCCCTTTTTATAGGCGAGGTTTAGGTTAGGCGTACCAGGCTTTTGGCCTGTTTAAATGGGCCTAACACTTGGCCTGATTTCTATCTAATTTATGCACTATTTAAATACAATATAAAGCTAATCTATGACCAACTTGATTCACAATAAAATATCTCCAACAGCGACGTTAACTAAGGCGCTTCTTGGGAGGCAACCCAAGCAAGGTACGCTTACTTGTTTTATTTTATTTTTACACATTTAAAAAAAATGATCTGGGATTGAACCCGGCCGGGTATAAAACCCCACCCGGTCGGGTTACCTCTAAAAACAAAACACCCGGCCAACCACCCGGGCGAGGCAAGAGCGGATCAAGAAAATATCAAACACCCGACCGGGTAGACCCCCATACCCGGCCGGGCAACCCAGCAAAAACTTTCTGCCTCGGGTGAACAGTTTACACCCGACCGGGTAGACCCCCATACCCAGTCGGGCAACCCAACAAAAAGCCTCTAGCTCCGGTGAACAGCTTACGCCCGACCGGGTAAAATACCTCACCCGACCGGGCGAACGGGGGAACAGACCTATACCAGGTCGGGCTCACCTCTTCCCCATTTTCTTTTCTTCCGATTCAAACCACACCCCAAATTTTCTCCATTTCCAAAAGTAAAAAGCTTCATATCTCCTACATCCATCCACCAATTAAACCCATTTCATTCATCACCTCTTCACCCTTTTTATCTCCACACTCACGAATCACCAACAAAACCTCCCAAAAATTAACCAAAAAGAAAAGAAAAAAATCATCTCAGACACAAGCACTAGGGACAGTGCTTTGATTAGCTTGGGGGGAGAGTCTTATGGAATACTCATATTCATACCTTTATTCTTTAAAAAAAACAAAAAAAAACAAAAAAAATAATTATAAAAGCTTGTTAAGTTGAAAACCTGAAAGGGCAACTTAAGCAAAAATAAAGCAAAAATAAGAGTGAGTTGTGAGGATTAAAACAGAAAAATGTGGGAAGCTGGGATGAAAACCCGAAAGGGCACCTAGACAAAATGAGAGAACGAGAGAAAGTATTCTCTTTTATTTCTGCAGGATCCTAAGGGTAACGAAAAAAAAAAACAAAAAGGTTGAGGTTGATAAAGAAATATGGAGTTGAAGACCCTCTTTACTGTTATATTTTTGGGGATATACTTTATGTGTTTCTAAAAACACTCGTGGATGTGTGTGTTGATATTCTTGTCACTTTAAGGACTTCTTGGACCGGATTTGATTTACTCGAGACGAGTAAAGGTTCAAGTGTGGGGGTATTTGATATGCACTAATTAGTAGTGCATAAATGTATATTTTTATGATTGATTTGTGTGTATTGTTTACCGTTTTATTTAGTTTGTAAACATTTGTGTGAACTTAGTTGTAATTGTATTTTAATCTTCATTTATTAGTTGTAAAGTAGAATTAGGAATTATGGTGTTGGAAAGGAAGACTTTGAAGAGAAGAAAACAATAAATTTGACTGTCCAGGAGTAAAACCCGACCGGGTAGAAACCCCCACCCGGTCGGGTATGATTTAACAGACAAAATTGCCAAGAAAGTCACTGGACCCGGTCGGGTCCCCTACTTGACCCGGTCGGGTCAGATGTGACCCGGGACAAAACGACGTGCGAAGATCACCAGAACATGGCGGATTATCTGATTTTGACCGGACCCGGTCGGGTAAGTACTTGACCCGGTCGGGTAAGTACTTGACCCGGTCGGGTACCCGGCCAAAGGTGTTGAAAAACACCTATAAATAGCACACTTTTTCTTCTCTAAAAATCATCCCTTCTTCCATACTCCTAAGCTAAACAAATTACAAATAATTATGAAAACAATGTATTACACCAAAAATGTGTAATTTCCACAACTAGAACTAATAAAAACTAGTTAAAAATACAAACATACATGATAGGAAATTCACACCATCAAGAAGATAAAAAGTAGAAAAATTAGGGGTAGTTGAGTATTTTTAAAGGAAAAACTTATCAAAAATGGAAAGTGTAGCAAACTTTTGAATACATCTCAAAAAGGAAAGTGTAGCAAACATTAAAGTATTCAACTGCAGTACCTGTGATATTTCTATTGGCCCTTAAGTATCATGTCTTCCCTGAAAACTGGGTTAACTTCTATCGTCCTTTGTGGTTTCTCTCCAGCGTTTTGAACTCACTTTACTCATTCTTTTGGGATCTGAATAGAGGCTGGGACCTCAGGTACGTAGTATCCTCTTTTGCTAACTCTTATAGAACTTTTTGGTTCTTGACACTGTTACATTCCTTTATTTGAAGATCCTCATGCATATACATGGTGGTGGGGCTATATATTTGCTTTCAATACTTCAAAATATAATTTCACTTCTTTCAGATTTTCCCTTAAAGTTTATATTTATCTTGTCTCTCTGTCCTAAAACAAACTCTTTTGGAATTAAAGCTTGGATGTTGTTGTATTTCTCTGTCCTGTAATGAGTTTCATTTTGAGTTTTTTTTACCTTTTTCTTTTGTTGCCAAAAATAGTTGAGTTATACGAGGCAACTTTGATTTTGAGTAAAATCCTTGTAAAGCCAAGGAGTAGTTTAGTTAATTACTGTAAAGAATCTTGTAAGGAGTAGTTTCGTGGCACAAGCGACCAATGGTAACTTGTAAAAGTTAAAACACATGCCTTCACTGAATTGACGTGAGGCTTGCATTACTATGTTAAATTTATGGAGTAATTTATATGTTCTGGTTCTCTTCATACATTGACAGGACTGTTTCAACCTCTAGCACACATTTATTGAGTTGTTTACCTAATTTGAATCCCAGTAGTATATAATATGTGATGAATCTGTGACATAATTCAAAGTATGACCAGAGTTCTTTTCTTTTCTGCCAGTTGCTTTACTCAAAATTTTCAAGTTCCACAAGCCTCATTTCTCATCAAATATGTTATATGGATGGAAGTGGGTAAGACTGTTTTACTTTCATCAGTGATTTCTAAATTGATTATAATGGTTGGCTGGTCGCAGGGAATTATTACTCTTTGTTTCTAACAGACAATAATTTGGGAAATTTATGTTTTACCTCTGTAGTTAGTCTAGTTATTGTCTACCAATATAGCCGCTGCCTTCATATAGGCCATGTTTGGTTCACGTTTTTGTAAGGGAGGGGAGGGAACGTTCCCCCATTTCCTAGTTTAGTTAAGAAATTCAGGAGGGGAAGGGAGCTGAAATATGTTCTTAGTTTCTTTTCCTTCCCTTGTGTTTCCTTTCTCCAAATTGGAGGCTAGTTCTCATCACTTTTATCTTTGAACCAAATATAACCTTAGTGTCTGTTAGGAACCCATAAGTTGAGAGGGAAATGAAATATTGGGGAAACTTGGAAGGAAAGAAAGTTTAGGGGAAATTGAAATAGATGGGTAGTTGAGAAAACTTGACTCTTCTATAACAGAGAGATTCATGTTATCAAATAAAGTTAATATTTATTTTTTTTCTCTTATTAGGGAATAAAAATATAATGCTCATATTTTGAAATTTCATATTGTTTTTACTAGTATTTAGAACCATTTCATTAATTTTAGGTGTTTGCTTTATACATGCAATTTATGAGAATATGGTGACTTGTTATTTATAATAAGATAATTTTAATATGGAAATATTTAAGGATTATCATTAATGAAGTTATTTGATTTCAAAAAAACTTGGCAATTTTTAATGTTTATTTTAAGCATGCAATTTATGATAATTAAACATTATACAAAAACTTGATTGAGCATCTACACAATAAATACAGATGTGGATGTAACAACATTATCACAAAAAAAAAGAATTATACTCGTATTTACATTTATTAAATTATACTGTTTGACTCAATTAACCTGACATATCTTTGCTTGCTCCAACTAGCGCCCTTTGCACTTTCTTGAACCCAGTGGTGGACCCAGAAACTCAGAATCACGGGGTCCCTACTGTAAAGTAACTCTAATTAATAAAAAGAAGATGTAAAATATTAAAATAACATATTGTTTCATAGTTAGCGTATACACCAATTTTAAAGATATTCCAACATTTTAAAGAAATGTCTACTATCAACTAGAGCTCGTTTGGTAACACTTAAATCGGCTGAATCGGCTGATTCTACTGAAATTTATGAAGTTCTGATCGAAGTGACTGTATTGGCTGTTTCTGTTGATTATGAAAAATTATATTTAAAATATATTATATTAATAAAATAAAGAAGAAATGATATGAAAAAATAGATAAAATGGTCAACTACAACAACTTCAGTCAATACAGCCTGAAAAGTAAATTCAACCTTATTTTTCTTATTATTACATAATTCAACGCACAAAATCAAAAGTTACATGTTTGGTTAAAAAGTTGGTTGATAAGCCGAAAAACATAGTCACTAAACGGGCACTGAAATTTTATAAAGTTGATGTCTTCTAAAAATAATGTCTTCTACATTTGAAAATTTTGATCCAATTACTTCGCAATATTTTATTTGGTTTTTTAATTAAAATATATTCATTACCTTTGTTTCTATTTTAATTTAATACAATTACCAATTTATTTGTTTAACTTTAAGGACTTTAATTTGTTATTGGACCGATTTTAGTCTTAGATCAAACCACATCAAGCCAAATTATGCGATTATGGCTCAAGCGACTGAATCTGCTATATTGGGAAAGAATGATATTTAAATAAGGAAAAATTGATTGTAATAATCCCAACTATTGGCGGTCCGCTCATAATAATCCCAACTATCGATTATTTCAGAATAATCCCAACTTTAGGGACCTTCCGCCAATAATGGTTCGATGTGACGGACTATAAATAAATTCCTATAGTTTCTAAAGAGATATAGCAGGTAATCTCTATAAATAATCCCAAATTTTAATTTTTGCGCTTAGTTTCTATTAAAAATTCAGAGCAGGTAATATGCGGTCCTGGACCATTATTGGCGGACGATCTATATAGTTGGGATTATACAAAAATGATCAATAGTTGAGATTATTGTTAGCGGACTAGCAATAGTTGGGATTATTATTTTCAATTTTTCCTTTAAATTATATGTTATAAGATATGAAAAAAGTCATATGAAAAAGTGGCTAAGATGATGCTCTTACGGTAACTTCAGTCATCTCGCCGAAAAAATGTTTTTAACTTGCTTATTTTAATTATTACAAATTTAGTGTGTGAATTCAAGAATTACGTGTTTCATGACCAAATTAGTTTATAAAACAGATAAGTTGAAATTCGGGGATACATATTGACTTTGTAGTAGTATATGTTATAAAAAAAATTGGGCAATAGGATAACAATAGGTACGCACGTACAAAAAGTTGGCCATAATTTTATTTTCAGAAAAGTAGATGCCTAAGGGAATTGATCGTTCAACCTCTGCACATACAAAGCCTTTGAATTGGGCCTCCTACCATTGCTCTAGCTCCGTATTTGTGTCCTTCACCAGTTTTGATTGTACAAATACTTATTCCTTAATTTTATATAAAATATATACAAATATATATAGGTATTTTTTTGGAGGTACATGGGGTCCCGAGACCCCGTGGGACCCTTAGTGGGTCCGCCACTGCTTGAACCGCTGGTTCATCCCGAACGGACCCAGGGGCCGGTGGTTTCAGTGTGATCGATCGGAATCTCAAAATTAAGTGATTCACCTTGAACATATCATAACTTGCCGCCTGTGTATACTGGGAAATACAACATCCTTAACGACTCGGGTGAACCGTAAACCTGATTTCAAATACTAATGAGTTATTTTGAATCTTTTTATTTTTAATTAAGCATCTTTAATCGTAGAATATTACTTGCGAATATTAACAAATTAAAGTGATGTAGTTATATATTTCATTTTACATATAAAATAATCTCAAAATCATTTTGAAAAGCACAAAACAAATTATCAAATTTATGGAGTGTATTGCCATATACTTCAGGGGTATCAACGTTTACACCAACGAATCTACAGAATAAGCTAAGTAAACTTCGATCAAGGTTGATCCCGTTGAGGTCGAGCTCAAAACATGTTCCCAAATCTTTGAGATAATTCCAAAACTTCAACTGGGATCGAGGTTGACACTCACCGAGATTGGCGACAGTTACAACACTATGATCGAGCTCTGAGCCAACAACTGTACCACGAGTTTAAGATATCAACAATGGCATTACTACTCCACATCATGAACCGAGGTTACCTATCTCTTAGTCTATGCGTTGCAGCTGAGGTTGACCTCTGCAACCGAGCTCAGAACCTCGTATACATATTGTGGACTAGACATTTCAACACTTGAATATCACAAACACGCGAGATTACGTCACTACGTGACACCTGTCCCAGGGTTGACGTCACCCAGACGATTACACATAGAAGATTCCGGACTTACATGTGTGACTTATCCAGCTGTTCTGGTATACAAGGACAAAAGCCAGTACAGTCATACCAATTAGAGAGATGTATTGGTTATTCTTTCATTAATTAGCTTTACGTGTCGATCAATATTTTAATGGGGCAGTTAGTTTACTTGTTCTTTAAGTGTTTTTTACACTATAAATATCATCTTTCAACTTGTGAAAAGGGGATCGCATTCTCTAGTGTCAAGCCTACTGTTACGTTGCCAAATTTCTTACTCGATCCATACTTAGCAAATTTCGACTCTCACTCGACTTTTGTCTAACTCGGGTCAACGAAGTCATCACTTATGATACGGTTAATCCAAAAAGGACTAAGTTATGCTTTAGGATACTAGGTATGTCTTTTCCGATACTTACCAAGTTACCATTATTTGATTATTATAAAAAAAATTTAACTTCATCTTAATTTGATGTAAAATTATATGTATATTATTATATTTTTTTAATAATGTTGACCAGTTTAACTAGATGTTGATTAAATTGACGAACTGGGTCCAGTTTGGCTCGTGATATTGTCACTCGCTAAGCATATTCTTGGAGTACGTTATAATACTTTTGCGACTTTCAACCTAAAAGAGTTGTGCTATTTTAATTTTACATTTCACATTTTAAATTCAATTTTCATCTTCAATTATTTTCATGAATTGGTTAGTTTCTATGAAATTGGGTACTACTTTAAGACTATTAAACAAATTAAAACAACCTTAAATCTGACCATTGGTGCCAACTTTTGGGGCAAATTTGGCACATAAGACTGTGAGGCTGTGAGCTAAGAAGTAATGGAGTGTTAAATAAATTTGGTTCGTTTCTATTTGAAACATGGGTTGGTGTCAAATTTTGATACAAACAAACATAAAGTTTTTAGTTTGAAATAATTGCCCTAAATAAGAATAAAACATGGTTAAAATTCCACAACAGGACATTAAGTTTATTATTCCCTAAATAGGACTCTCAATTACTTTTTTACCCTTCATCTAATAAAACCCCAAAACACATGTTGCAGACCAAGCCGCGATTCTATTTGCGATGAAGACCTGCGATGAAGATTGCAGACCAAGCCACGATTCTATTTGCGATGAAGATGCCCAAGCCGCACTCCGTCCACGACCTCTACTGTAATAGCCAAGACGGGTATGTACTCTTCTTCTTCTTCCTCCTCCTCCTCCCCCTCCTCCTCATCCTTTTCTTCTTCTTCTTCCTTGTTCTCTGCTCTTCTTTTTTAGTTTTTTATCAATAAAATTTTAAATAAAATTTTAATTTTGAAAGTTCCAAATGAAGATATATCTGAAGTTGAATTTCTTGTTACCAATTTTGATTAATTTGAATCTCAAAATGCCTTGACTAATGATTCCAGAAAATGCCACTTTTGAATAGGAAAATGACATTATTCTTGGGTATTTTTAAAAAATGTCATTTTTATGTCATTACAATATTTAAAAATGTCATATTGAGAATGTCATGTTTCTATACGAAATTATCATTATTGTGTCATTATTGGTCACTTTAAAAAATGTCACTTTTATGTCATTACAGTATTTGAAAATGTCATATTGAGAATGTAATGTCTCTATACGAAATTGTCAGTTTTGAGTCATTATGCATATTAAGTGTCATTCTCGCATATGAAGTGGCATTCCTCATGAAGGTCTGCACAGAGTACTCACCGGAGGACAGATTTTTGTTGGAGAATGATGGCAACGTACTAGCTAAGGGGTGGCGTCGGTGACATACCTGATGGATGGTGGCAGAGGCGCCAATGGTGGAGTCGTCGACTTCAAACCTGCGCACATTGCACACCTGCGCAGCATAAGGGAAGGGGAAACATACGCACACTGCACCTGCGTAATTCTTTCATTAAGGGTATTTTAGTCAGTTTAGTTTAGTTTTTATTAGTCATATTTTTATCTAATAAAACATTGTGGTGCTGTTTTTGCAATTATACCTTCTTGTAGTCTTATTTAGGGAATTCTCTGTTTTAGTTTTCAATTAACCGGATTCCCGAGGAGCATAGTCGGAACACTGAGCATACTGAACCAGCACAAAGATTTCTTTTTGAAAAAATATTTACACAAAATTTATTACGCTAATAAATAAAGAGTGTTTCTATTAACAAACTCCAATTTGCTATCTACAATCACCCAGTTAAATAAATTGATTAGTTTTTAAGATTGTTCTTTCTGTGCGTCGGAGAAAAAATGGGTTGTAAATTCTTCACCACCATGGTCGGAGATTAGAATGGATTGTTCTCGATCACCTCAGCTTCTTCCTCAGCCCATTGGTCACGGATTCACGTCCAGCCACAACTGCCGATTCATCGCATTGGACCAGTCCATCTCCTCCCGCCCTGATTTGATCCCTGGCGTTTTTCGGGGCTGCTAATATGTCTACGTTTATCCGGTACCACAAGGATTAGAGAGCTTCCGGCTTGGGCTGCCCTTTGATCTCTTCATTAGATTCTCGTAACCTGACCAGGATTTCAGAGATTGAATTCATCTATGTTTTCACAATCTATCTCTGCTTCATAAGAAGGCGGAGAGGTTCTGGTCCATCTTCTTTGGATGTTTGCAGTTTTAAGAGTTTGATAGCTTAGAGAGACGAGACGAAAACTTGCAAAATGCATATCCTTTTCTCAAACTAAATCAAAAGGCTGAAATGGGAACTCAATATATTTTTGTTTAATTGAAGTTTGAACTTGGACTGTGGATAGCAAAAAGTGACTTTATATAGAATCATTAAACCATTTATTAAACTCTTAAAACTGCAATCCATTGTAGGATCCTAAAGGTGATGATGAAGAATTTGAACCAGACCATGAACGTAGAGGATTGAGTTCTTCGGAAACGGATTTAAGCCAAAAGTGAGGCTCTGATTGCGTGGATGCCACGTATGAATGGTTTCCAAACTCTGGAAGAATTTGATTGAGGAGGTTAACTCAAAGGACGCTCTACATTATCCATATCCCATATCCGTACGAAGTCATGATTGTCTTTGTCCATAGATGAAATTTAATTTGGAAAGCCCATAATGGTGCATCTTCTATTAGAGTCCGGCTTCGTGTACTCGCCGGATTACACGTCGGTCAAATTGTTTGTATACAGACAATTTGACAATTTGATCGGCTAAACAGACAATTTGATCGACGTTTTAAGAAGAAAATCGATTTCCATACATACAAAATATAAAGAGTTGTCTGTATCACATACATTTTAGACCTGAATTTTTCATAAAGTGTCTGTGATACAGATATTTTTTTTTATTTTTTGTCTGTGTGAAAATCGATTTTCTTCGTAAACGTCTGTCAAAATGTCAAAATGTCTGTGTACACAGACAATTTGACAGACGTGTAACCCGGCGTGTAGAAAAGGAATTTTCCCTACTATTAATTGTGACATGCTTGTGATCTACCATGTGTGGTGATGTGTACTTTTTGCACATTTTTTAAGGTGTAACCTCTTTATAGTTGGTGTAGTTTTAATCTTTATGGTTGACTAAATTTGCGTTTCGATTAATAAGCGCATAGTAGAATATATACCGAGTATCATTTAATCATCAATAATATGCCTTTGATAACTATTTATACGTATTAAAAAGTACATAGGCCGACCCTTTTGTTAGGATGTAAAGTAAACATTTGGCAAGCAAAGTATAGAAATGTCAACATTTTGCATTGTTTGTTTTAATTATTTAATGTAAATTGTAGGACACTTTTTAAAAAACTTTACATTGTACTATATATGTAAAATATTTTACATGGGGGAGAATAGTAAACTACCCCTTCCGTCTCACTAGAGTTTGCCAATTTTTCTTTTTTGTTTATCCTAAAAAAAATTATCACTTTCCTTTTAATGCAATGCTTTTGTGGCTCTGATCATTTTTCTCTCCTCTACATAAACCTCAACCACACAAATTTTCCACCTAACATCAACTTGGCAAAGTTGATTGGGACGGAGGTAATAGTTTACATCGATTTATGCGTTTATGCGAGCGAGAATATTTAGGGCCCATTTGGTAAGACCCAAATCGGCTGCATTGACTGATTCTGCTGAAATTTATGAAGTTCTGGATGAAGTGGTTGTATTGGCTGATTTTGATTATTTGTGGGGAAAAATATTTAAAATATATTTTATTAATTAATTAAAGAAAAAAATATATGAAACAATAGCTAAAATGATCTTCTACATTAACATCAGCCAATACAGTCAGAAATGTAACTCAAATCTTACTTTTTCTTTTTATTACACAATTCAGCGCGTGAAACCAAAAATTACGTGTTTGATAAAAAGTTGTTTGATAAGTCTAAAAAGCCAAAAATAATACTACGTAGCTAACAAAGTGGGCTCTTATAGGGAGCATTGAATTTGTTAGACTTTGGAGACTCACCTGGGCGGCAAATCAAAATCTTTGGCGGTAAGAGAACAAAATCCGCAAACCAATTCCATCAAATTTCCTCTTTATCTGGGTTATTTTATAGTTATTGTGCACTCCACAGTGTTCTAAAAAGCTCCAAAAGGCGGCGCCAAGGCGCGCATAGGCCTGAAGCGCCAACTAAACGCCAACTAAGCGCATAGGCGTGACAAAAGGCGGAAAAATCATACTAGCCTTCATTTTGACCTGCGGATGGCGTAGTCAACACTTGAAGCGTTTCACGAAGAAATATAAGGACATGTGGAGGTTACTTATAAGGTTGGGAGAAGAGATATTTACTTTCGCCACCGGTGTGGGAAAGTTGACAAGCTGCCCGCTGCCTTAATTCTTTGAAGTTGTCGAATAGCAAAGCACTAATGCTCCATATTACATTGAATATGCTGCTTCACTATTCCGTACAAATTATTACTCGTACTAATTTTACTACTTGTATCCTCGAAAATATCATATACGGAGTATATTTTTTATGTAGGAGGTTTTTATTTCTAAAAACAAAGATGACATTGCTTATTATTGTGACTTAAATTTTTACTTTTTATCAAAATTATCATCATTAATATTAATTATGAATAAAATAAACTAATGACTAATGAAGGCCTAATTGCTAATTGATTCATTTTATCATTAACGATTTTTTTGTTACGTTTTGTTGTGAGGAATTACTAATGAGTGAGGATCACGTCAAGTCGTCATGCCCTGGGCGACACACGTGCTACAATGGCCGGGACAAAGGGTTGCGATCCCTTAATTACTTTTTCCAGATCTGATTTGTGTGTAAGTTATAGATATATTTGCTGGACTAAGGACTCAACAAATCCCTTTTCATTGAAAATTTGAATAATATGACGTTCTTGAATAACTTTATTTAATATTAAACTCAGATATTAAAAATAGCTCTAGGAAAATTAAAATAAATGTTAAAAGATCAAAACGCATTTTCACGGCTAAGCCCCTCCTAAATCCGCCTAGGCTTCAAAGGCTTAAGACTTGACCGTGTCGCCTTAACACGCCTTACGCCTTACGCCTTTTAGAACATTGGCACTCCACGTTAATTCGGTCATCTGCATACGAGCTATGTAGTTATTTTCTAAATATTTTAGTGATTAAAATCCTTCTCAAAATTAAACGTTGTTGGCCATCTTCTGTGGCACAGTTTAATTTGGTCGACTATGTATGACCTATATAGTTATTTTCTATTCTAAATATTTTACATGTAAACTTATTTTACGGTCTTAAACTTTACATGTAATTAATTTGCATGTAATGTTTTAATGTGTAAAGTGTAAACTACCAGTGGCGGAACTAGGGGGGCGAGCCGGTGCCCGCGCTCCCCCTTCTCCCGCGGTGGTTCTGTATGTATATATATATGTATATATCCCAGCCCCGGTTCAGAAAGTATTCATATATTAAAGTGGAGTCGCTATTTGAACGTATGAGTTGTGATAGTTCAAATGGTAGGGTGGAGGTTGGGAGAGCTTTAATTCGTCCCAGACCAGTTCAGACCAGACCAGACTTGGATAGTTATAAAAATACAAAGAAATCAGACCAGACCAGATCAGACCAGACCAGACCAGCAAATTACAGTCCAAGTAAAAACATCCTAAATCACACTTTTGAACTTCTATATCTTTTATTTTAAATTCTCATTTCTTCAATTCAAATTAATTATAATCATTTCTTCTTCTAATAATGACATATACGGACGTTGTCATTAAAGTCAACAATAATTCTAAAACTACTTATGTTAGTATAAGTATTTACCTTTTGTTTAGTATAATAACATTTTTATTTGAAACACACTACATATACATATATATAAGTTTCGGATCAAATAAAAAGAGTTATTATCATGAAAATTGATCGAGAATAAATCTTGTGTATTTAACTTGAGATCCGATGAGTCAAATCAGTCAACAATGCACTATATTTTATCAAAAACTCGGTGAAAATTTGATAAATAAATCAAAATTTTCTCTCATTGTGAAAAAGTGTAAAATAAATATCTACTAGTGTACCAAAACGAGTAAAAAATGCGCTTGTTCTCATTTTTCACGGGAATAACTCTTTTTATTAGAATCTCACTCTATATGTATCTTATAATTATTTTTCACTCGTTCTTATTTTATCCTAATAAAAAATTGTTTTTCAAAAAAAAAATAAGAGCACCCCTCAAATTATTGTCTGGTTCCGCCGCTGTAAACTACCAAACATGCTCATAGTAAAAAATTATATATATAGGGAGGTTTAAATACAAAGTATTCCTTATATGAAAAATGAGAAGTAATCTCAGCTTTTAAAATAAAAAAATAAGTGGATCAGATCAATTTTAAAGTGAAAAATGTGGTGGCAAAAGTGTAAATAATAGATTTTTTTAAAAAATAGAGTAAAAATGTGCATGACTATGGAGAAAAAGTGCATCACGCTTCAAAATAAAATAAGAAGTATAAAAATCGATTTGAAACTAATTTAATGAGTTAAATTTGCACTTTTACATATCTTATATGCACGTTTTTTATTAAGTATTGCACATTTTGGTTGAAAATTTCGCAGCGTGATTTTTGATCTATTCCATTCATTCTTAAGTGATCAAGGACTTAGATCACTTCTTAATTTTCATTAGAAGACCCATTTACATTAGAACTGACCCCTATATATAATTGTTTTATTTTGCAAGTGTGGCAAAATCACCCTTTGTGCATCACTTGAGACCATCATGTGAAATAGGATTTTAACCCCACACATAAGTTTTTTAATACTACCTTCGTTCCCATTTTAACTTCCAAATGGGTTTGGCACAAAGTTTAAGATAGTGGATATTGTGTGGTGGAGAGTTGTGCATAGGAGAGAGAAATGTGTAAGAAATGTTGTGAACCACAAATTCTTTATCAAAAAGGGAAAGTGGAAGTTTTAATTGGAACGGACGAAAACGGAAAGTCGGAGGTTTATTCAGGAACGGAGGGAGTATATGCTATACCACACTCAAAATTCTTAAAATCTTCAAAACCACTCAAGATCATTTTTTGTTGTCTCAACTTGTTTCAAAATAGGATTTAGAAACATATAAACAACTTGTTAAATTGAGAAAACATATAAAATTTTAGCCTTTTATAGATTTGGAAGTTGAGGGGTAATATAAATTACCTTGAAGAGGTAGTTCTGTTTATATGTCACAATTCTCTCCATCATGCTCCAGGACAATTTGCACGAATTTACGTTTCCACTATACATAATTACATAGTAAATAATGTATGGTCCCGAAAAAGACTGTATGTATATTAAATACTTCAAAACTACCACATTAGTGTCCCCGGGGAGAATCTCACTTGATTTTGATGGGCATGCAATATGGACCAATTTTTTATATTCTTTGTTGTAGATAAATTGGGTATCTTAATAATAATAATATGTCTGAAAATGGTTTGGTTTTCGTGATATACAATACATGGGTGTGTATAATATAGAATACATGGTGTGTGCAATAGAGTCTTGACAGCACAAGATACAGTGAAATTCCGAAGGCCTTTGTGTTAAGACAATAGCAGCTGCCAGCATTAAGATCGATAGAAGACACCTCTTCAAATCTCTTCTTTTGTGTGACAAATTTCTCCAAGAATTTTTTATGGAAGGTATCTCCAGAATGGCGTCGACAAAAAGAATGTTGTTAGATATTTTCTTGAAATAATTCAAAATATTCTTGAGTTTTTCCCTTTTAT